GAGGCAGGAAGATTGCCAAGAGTTCAAGGCCAGCTTGGGCTACATAGTGGTGAGTCCAGGCCAGTCTGAACTACATAGCAAGACCTTGTCTCAAAAATAAATAAATAAGCAAAACAAAATAAAACAAGAGGGCTGGAGAGATGGCTCAGTGGTCTAAAGCACCTACTTAGAACAAGCTTAGCAAAGCACAGGGACCACGGTTCAATCCCCCAGCACCACATGCCAGCCAGTCCCGCCCCCTGGTGGGCTGAGCTGGCCACACACACACACACACACACACACACACACTCAAATAAATAAAAATTAAAAAAAAAATAAAACAAGACATTGGCAGGTTTTATTAGTTCCCTACTTGTGCAGACCAGGTGCTGGGCGAGCTTACTACCTGTTGAACTGCTTGTAGGAAATCTCCCATGTTTCCCAGCTTGTTTTCTACTATTTGCTAGCTGGAAAATGGAATTTTTTTTTTTTTTTTTCCTGCAGTACAGAGGATCAAACTCAGGACCTTGTCCTGGCCAGGCAGGCATTTATGCTGCTGAACTATATCCCTGACCTAGAAATAAAATTTTCTAACAACTCTGTCTTCTAATTAAGATCAAACCCCAATAGTGCGGGCACTGTGTGATCCGAGGAATGTGCAATAAGTAGGTCTTGGGCATTCTTAGCAGCAGAGTTGAGGCTGAATCCCTCCCAGAGTGACTTTCGGAATCACACAGATCTTTGTGTGCGTTCTATTCTGCAACTTACCTGTGGCCTTTGGCAAGTCACCTCTGATTTTTTTTTTTTTTTTTTTTGTCTTTTGGAGGCTGGCCGTGAACTCACTTTGCAGCTCAGGCTGGCCTCCAACTTGCAGCGATCCTCGTGCCTCAGCTTCCCAAGTACTGAGATTACAGGTAAGCCTCACCACATCCAGCTATTGAACTTCAATTTTCTTACATGTAAAATGGGATTGACTGTGTTTTGCTCACAGGAAGAATTGATGAAATTAGACATTAAGGGCTGGCCAGATAGCTCAGTGGACTAAAGCGCCTGCTTTGGCAGAGTTCAGTGGCCGGGGCTCAATCCCCTGCATGCCATGCTGGCCCTGCCCCCAGAGCACACTGAGACGTCGATTGAGACTGGGTGTGGTGGCGCACACCTGTAATCCCAGCATTTGGGAGGCTGAAAGCAGGAGGACCACTACAAGTCTAATCTACGTGGTGAGACCCTGTATACTGTCCTAAATTCATGAAAAAAAAAAAAAAAGGAAGAAAGAAATTAGACATTACAAGCATTTGGTGCTGGACACCTCAAGTAGTGAACACCTAAGTAAGAGGCAGCAGCCAGTATTCCATGGGAGGTAACATTCTCATGGATGGCCTTTGAGACACTCAGGGAAAGAGTGACTCTGGAACCTGGGGACATCTGGTACAATAGTTTGAATGTGACCTTCAAAAGTTTGTGCTGGAAACTTAATTCCCATTTCTATGTTAATGGCATTTATTTTATTTATTTAAGAGCAGAATATTTATTGGGGAAAAAAGCTTCTGTCTGAGAGAGGGACAGAAGAGGGACCCAAGCAGGTTGCCTGGGAAGCTGCCATTTTTAGGGATTTTTATAGAGCAGAACCATGTGGTGAGGTGGGTCTAGGGTAAAAACCATGGGCATTTGCTTAGGTGGGCATGAGGTGGGACATGTTAATGGTGTTAGAGTCAAGAACTTCAAGAACTACTTAGGATTCCATGAGGGCCTAAGACTGCCAGAATGGCATTAGTGGCTCTGTCAGAGGAGGAAGAGCTGGAGCCAACACTCTGGCTGTCACCGGGTCCTCTGCTATGTTGGGAAGGAACAAAAAGGCGCTCAATAGATGCCAGGGCCAGGCTCTCAGATTTCTTAGCCTCCAGAACCATCAGCTACATGAACTTGTTCTGTAGAAACTCCCTGGTCTGAGGAATTTCCTTATTGCAACAGAAACAGACTAAGACGTGGGTTGGCAGTGTGCTTCCCCAGGCGGGGTCATTGCTGTTAGCCGGTTTTGCCCAGGAAGTCAGGGCTTAGAAAGGGAAGTTCCTGTCAGAGATGCTGGGAGCTGTGTTTCTGGAATCCAGTGTCCTGACCTTGTGAAAACTAGAATGAGCTTAACTGTACAAACTTGATTTATTTTTTTTCTCCCAGTACTAGGGATTGAATCCAGAGGTGCCCCCCTCCCCACACCCAATTTGAAGTGTTACTAAATTGCTCAGGCGGGCCCTGAACTCACGATCTTCCTGCCTCAGTCCCCCACCCCCTACCCCGAGCTGGGACTACAGGTTGTCAACATGCCCGGCTGATGCAAGCTTTTACCTTCTTTGACACATTCCTGTTCACTCACTCATTTGATCTGTGTGTGAAGTGGACAAGAATAAACCTCAGTTAGCAAGTGGGAAGTTGGAGCATGTGGTGCCACTAGTGCTTGGGGCAAGACACTAACTGCTCTGTGACTCAGAGCCCCAGCTTCTTTCCTTTCTCTCGTTTTTTTTTATTTTTTATTTATTTGAGAGAGAGAGAGAGAGAGAGAGAGAGAGAGAGAGAGAGAGAGAGAGTGGGGTGTGTGTGTGTGGGCAGCTCAGCCCATCAGGGGGCGGGGCTGGCTGGCATGTGGTGCTGGGGGATTGAACCGCGGTCCCTGTGCTTTGCTAAGCTTATTCTAAGTAGGTGCTTTAGACCACTGAGCCATCTCACCAGCCCCTCGTTCTTTCTTTTGAGACAAGGTTTCACTGTGTGGCTCAGGCTGGCCTTGAACTCACTATGTAGTCCAGGCTGGCCTCAAATTTGTGGTGATCCTCCTGCCTCAGCCTCCTTAGTGCTTGGATTACAGGCACGCGCTACTATGCTGAGTCAGAGCCCCAGTTTCCCTTCCTCCTCCTCCCTAATGTCTTTTCAGGCTCTGGTTCTCTGCTTCTCCAGCTCCCCCTGCATTCTCTTCTGCTCTTCCACACTGGTTGAGCACCAAGGTATCATGTGACAAGGTATCATGTGACAAGTGTGGGGCCACAGAGTGAATGAAGCACAGCCCACACGTCAGGATCTTGGGTGGGGGGCATCCTTAGCTGTTTCTAAAACAAGGTGGTGTACAAAGATGGAGCCTGTCACCAAGCACAGCCAGGGCTCTGAGCTGGGGTTCTGAAGGTGTCACATGAATTTTGCTAAGGGAATAGAGGGTAGTCAGATGCAAGGGCAGAGGAAGCCAGCAGAGGTAGGAGCATAGTGACATCAGGGCTTTGTGAGTGGTTTGGGGACAGATTCTGAGTGATCCTGGGGGCTTAGGAGGTGCCAGGTCACACAGGATCCTGAGATCAGGCTGGGACAGCACAGCTCTGTGTTGTGTACCATGAAGAGTCACTTCAGGGAAGACCCTGGGTCAGATCTGTGATCCTAAATGGAGAATGTTGGGGAGAAGAAATACTGGAGGGAATCCATAGACTGTAGGAAAGAACCAAGACATGAGGCAGGCAGGGAGGCTGGAGAGGAGAGGGAGCCCCTCACTATATGGACACAGAATTGATGGGATGGACACAGCCCGCATGTGGGAGGGGGCACATCAGGTCAACCCTCAGGATCCCGGCTGGGGTGACAGGTTCAGGGTGGACAAGCTCAGGAGGGACAGAGGAGAGGAAATGTCGGTTTTACGTACAGATAGGGAAGCTAAGCCCCAGAGAAGTAGAGTACACATGACATGGCTCAAGGGTTCAGCGCCATGTGGCACTGGGTGCTTAGAAGGCTCCTCAGTGTGTGAGGTCCCAACACGGCCCTCTTGGCTCCTGCTGGGAGGTTGCTAGGCTTCCATGCTGCGCTTCTGGGCCAGCTCTGAAGCTGAGCTGCTGTCAGGCTCTTCCTCCACGGTAGCTGGCTATGTTCCCTCCCAAAGCCCCAGGTTTTGCATCTGTAAAGTGGTGAGGCTCAGAAGCAGCAAGCAAAGGTCCTGGTTCCCAAGGTTTCAGATCTCCAGACTGGCAGGTGCTGGCTCTCTGGCTGTCATCTGTCTCCCTCACAGATGGCCCTGTCTCTGCTGTCTTAATAATGGCCTTGAGCTGGGTGTAGTGGCACACTCCTATAATCCCAGCATCCTGCTAAGGCAGGAGGATGCTTGTGAGTTTGGGACCAGTTTGGGCTACAAAATGAGCTCAAAGCCAGCCTGAACTGCATAGAAAGACCTTGTCTCAAAAAGACAAAAATAATGCCTCCCTTCTTTCTTCACTTTCACCCCTGAACTAACACTTCTCAAACTTTAATATGCATACAAACTACATAGAGCTCTTAGTAAAATATAGGTTCAGTCGGAGTCCTAGGATTACAGGCGGGTACTGCTGCTCCCAGCTTACATATTCATTTTGTACAAACTTGGCCCTGAGGTTGCAGCTACATCAGCCTCCTTCCCCTGAGTGTGCCCAACCCGCTTTCCCCTCAGAGCCCGTCAGAGCCCATGTCCTAACTCTGCCCTCTGCCTCCCACTCTCTGCCCGTCTCTTCTCACTACTGAGATTTCAGCTTCTGGGTCACCTCCCAGAGCGGCCTTCCCTGACCCAATCTCTTACCCTAGTTTAACTCTCTGCAGCTCTTATCAGCAAGTAGAATCTTTTTTTCTTTCTTTTTTTTTTTTTTTTTGCGGAACCGGGGATTGAACTCAGACCCTTGCACTTGCCAGGAAAGCACTTATTCCACTGAGCCATTTCCCCAGCCCTGCAGCTCTTATCAGTAGCAGACCTCAGCTTGTTCATTGTCCTTTTCCCCTGCCAGGCAGTAAGACCATGCCCTGCTCTCGCCCTGATTCACCTTGCCCTCCAGCTTGTTCGTTACATGGAACGGGGCCAGAACAGGTGCTTAGAAAATATTTATTGCATGAGAAAATGTCATTCCCCTCTCTGGGCCTGTTTTTCCACCTATACAATGGAGATAACAACACAGTAACACCTACCTCACAGGGTAAGACTAAATGAGATAGGGGTTGGGGCTGTAGCTCAGTGGAGGAGTGCCTGCCTACCACGTCAGGTTCATAGGTTTGACCTCTAGCATCTCAAAAACAAAAATTATGAGAGATCAGTCACAGTGCTTGGCCCTCGGTTTCCAGTGTTGTGTTATGAACACCACAGTGGAACCCCTGGCAGGCAAAGTGTGGCAAGGCCAGAGGGAGGGAACGGTTCCTGCAGATGCCTCGGTGAACTGAATGCCAGGAAGCTAGGCTGACTGGCCCTGGCCTGTACCTTGCTCCTGCTAAAGGCCTTGACACCCAAGTAGCAGAGAGGGCAAAGTCAAGGATGAAAAGAGGAGGAGTGTGTGCTTCAAATCAATTGTAAGTTTATTAGAAAGGCCATGGACAGATGAACCCTGAGTTACCAGCTGAGGAAGAAATGGAAAAAGCCCCTGACCTTACAACCAGCGCCCTGGTTTCCAGTGAATTCTGTCCAGTGGCAGACCCCACAGAAGCCTGCCGGAAAGTGCCTGCCACATCCTCTCCCGGGTGCTGCCCACCTGACTGCAGGGCCCCCAGGTGGGCCGTGTGAATGCTGGTGGCTGGAGCCAGGAACTTCCGAGCCAGCAAGGCTGTTCTAGTGGAAGTGGTTCTGGTGCCCGTGGCAGAACAGACAGAAGAGTCTCTGGGTGGGGATACGGTGAGCTCTGCCAAACAGCCAGTGGCTCTGAGAGGCAGTGCTGGGCTGCCTCACGGGTATGTGCACATGGTGCCAGAAGGCCCACTGTGGGGCCCTAGGATAGGACCCCAGAGCTGCTCCAAGGAGTCTTAGCCACAGGCAGCCGCAGTGTGCTCAGTGCCCTCCCAGGGCTGGCTATTTCAACTCCCAGAAAGGCAAATGGATTTTGGAAAAATTCATGGTGGTTGATGTCATTTTCTTTCCCTTTAAAAATGATTGGTGAATCAGTGTCAACCAGCAGAGCCTGAGCCAAGAAGAGTCCATCGTGGGGAAGGAGAAGGCACTTCTCACACCCTTGTAGGGTAATCTGGGCCCCTGGGGGCTCCAGTTCACTCTGCCCTGTAACTTAGGCCTGCTCCCTCCAGGAGGGATGCTGCCTCCATCAAGCACTGCCCTGCGGCCCAGATGCCCCAGCCCCTCACAGGGTGGTGGACGGCAGCTTCCTCACCCGCCGCTGGGCCAGGATGGAGGTCTCGATAGGCTTCAGCTGGGGTGTGGGCTTGGAGCTGTTGAGTGCGGAATACGTGGCTGCCATGGCTCCCTGGGGGTGGGTTAGATCACAAGGATGAGTGAGGAGGGCACACATGCACAAAGGGCAAGGCAGCGCCCCCTAGTGTTCCACAGCCCAGATAGCGCAGCTATTCCAGCCCTGCTGGTCTTGTCTCCCCCATCAGACTAGAAGACTGGGGGTTTCAGCGGTCAGGAGCTACGTCTCCCAGTGAAAACACTGACACTGCTGCATGACAGTTTGCAGCTCCTTGAAAATTCAGCTATGTCTTTTGTTCTCTGTCTTACCTCCTGGTCAGGAGCACAGACATGGAATCACCTGGCTCTGCCATCCCAAGCCCCCACCCACGCCACGGGGCCTGAGCCCATCCCACTCCTGATGCTCAGAAGCTTGAGTGGCCATACCTTCACCAGCTGCAGGTCCTGGTGGGACAGCTGGCTCTGGGGAAGCTTATCTTTCTGGGTAATCCATGGGTGCTGCAGGACCTGCTTGGCCGTGAGACGCTGGTGAGGATCCACATGCAGCATCTTGGATACCAAGTCCTGGGGGCACAGTGGGCAAAGGGGTGATGAGAAGGGCAGCAAAGCAGCAGACAGCTCTGCTGCATTGATGGGGAACCACAAGGCCACCAGGCTTAGCCATCTCCTGCCTGAACTCTTTGATCCATCATGACATGTCAAGCCCTCCCCAGAGCGAGGCACTCTCCTCCAGCACAGTGGGTCCTTCTGCTTTGTGGGTCTTGGCTACTCAAGGCACTTATAGGAACCTCTTTCCTTTCTGCCTTCTTTTTTTAGAAAGCCATGTGGGAAGGTGGGAAAAGCTTCAGGGTTGGGTCATGCAGTCTCAGGTTTGAACTTGATTTTTTCATTCATCACCCAAGTGCCCAGGACAAGTCCCTTCTACTCTCTGGGTCTCAGTTTCCACTCTGTGTAACAGGGATAACAACTGTGGCTCATAAAGGGCTCAACCTGTGTCAGACACAGAACTCTTAGAAACACTTGCCAATGTTCAAAGCTCGACTGTGACCTCCTTGGAGAGAAGGCCTCCTGCACAGCATAGACAGTTGCTTGGCACCTCCATTGCCCATACTCCTGGCTGGGAGGATCTGCCACTGCGTACAACTTGTGTCTCCTACCATGCTCTTTCCACAAAGAACCGTCTGGGAACATGCAGTCTCTGCCCCCAGAGGGCCAAGAACCCAGAAGGGCCAGTTACCAAACAAACAGCAGGTGGTCTGCCCAGGAATCTCTTACTCGAGAATTATAGGCATAGGGATTTGTGGGACGTTCAGCCTGTTCCTGACCTCCCTAAAGTCCTGGCTGGGTTACTTCCTCCCCCTCTCCAGGTCTCACAGACTCACCTTGGCTGTCTCGGAAACCGTGTTCCAGTTTCCTCCACTGAGAGTAAACTTTCCACTGCCAATCCGGGTCAGGATCTCCTCCGGTGTGTCACTGGGCCCATTGGCAAATGGAGTGTATCTGGAGATAAGCCCACACAGCTTGGGTAGGTACAGCCTCCTGCTTCCATCCGGGGGCTGGGGATGGAGCAGAAGGCTGTGTTGCCCCCTTCAACCTCATGCTCCAAAGTGAGCTACTACTTGTCGGGGCCAAGTCCCGAGACAGAGCTGAGTCTCTCCATCAGACAAACACCACCTTGGCTGGAACTCCAGGGCTGAAGGAGGGAGGAGGGCCGGGCCGGGGTGGGGCACTCACCCAGCCAGCATGGTATACAGCAAAATGCCCAGGCTCCAGATGTCACAGCCTTCATCGTAGCCTTGGCGCTTTAGCACCTGGCAGGAAGGCATGGAAGGGTAGTCAGTCTAAAGGTCAGCAGCCACATTTTCCCTAAAAGGGAAGGTCAAGGGTGCCAGCCATGGGCTAGATCTGCCCTTGGTACCTAGGTCAAGGCTGTGGACACTGCAGTGCCCCTGCAGTGTCGGGTCTCTGGGAGCAGACGTAAGGCCTCCTGTTGCCCACACTCACCTCAGGGGCTACAAAGTTGGCTGTGTAGCAAGGTGTCATGAGAAGCCCATTTTCAGCCCGCAGCTGTTTGGCGAAGCCAAAGTCACAGATGCGCAGGCACTCGGGGTTCCCAGACTCATCCACGAAGAGAATGTTGCTGGGTTTGAGGTCCCTGTGCACAACCTAAGGGCAGAGGACAGGGGTCAGCTGCGGTGTGGGGAAGCTGCCACTAGCCCAGGCTGATGGCCAGGGAAGAAAGTGTGAGAAAATGGGTAGAGAGAGAGGAGGGGAAGGGGCCAACAGGGACCTACTGCTGGACTCCCGACTTTTTGAAATCTGAGCAGATGTCTAAGCAGCTCTAACTTAACCTATTCAACATGGAACTCCCCTCAAATCTATACACTACAGAATCTTAGCTAGTGACGTCACCAGCTTTCCCCCCTTACATTCCACAGCCAACTCATCAGCAAACTCTTGCTCTACCATTAAAATATATGCAGTGCCCAGCCATTTCTCAGGCCCTCTACTGGCAGCGTGCTGACCTCCAACCCGGATGCGGCCACTCTTCTTTCCTCCAGCCTATTTAGACAGACACCATAGTGCTCTTGTTAAACCTAAGTCAGATCACGTCTCCTGGCTTGAAGCCTTGCACAGCCTCCCTTATAAAGAAGAAAAGACCTTGCAGAGGCCCTAGGCCTCTGCTGCTCTGGCTCCGGCCCCTCACCCACATCTCTTGCAGTCTCTGGCCCTCTCATGCTCGGTGCCTTGCTTCACTGGCTTCAGCCACATTGCTGATTTTGTTCCTCCCTCAGTGTGCCAGGCACACATGTGCCTGCCTCAGGACCTCTGCGCCTGAAGCTTAACCTTTTTTTTTTTTGCAGTACTGGGAATTGAATTCATTACCTTGCGCTTGCCAGGCAGGCGCTTCTGCCACTGAGCTATATCCGCGGCCTGCAGGTTTCTCTTTTTCAAACAGTCCTCCCTCATGCATCCTGGCTCATTCTCTTGTTTCTGGTCTGAGCTCAAATACCACCTTATCAATGGGGCCTTGCCTGGCTCTCCCATGGACAACAGCAATCACCCCTCCCCCCACTCCAGTACACTTTAGCTTTCTTATTTACCACCACTGGACAGAATATTTAACTTGTTTTCTGAGTCTGCCCTCTGGAGTGTAACTGTCATGCTCACTGCTGTACCCCAGCACTTGGCACGGTCCTGGTTCACAGCAGGTGCTCAATGAATATCTGTTGAATGAATGACACCCAAGGCCATAACTGCTTTCCTCTGCATCCCATTTGCTCATCTGTAATGGAGGGCATGGGCCGCTCCACTTTTCCTGTCTCCCCTCTCCCCATTATGGTTGTCCTCACAGTCAATCCTCGATCACTTCATTACAACTCTCGGGTCTCTAACCGTAGCCCAGAACTTTTCTGAGGCCAGGTCCCATATCCAGCTTACTAGATGGCAACTGCTACATCTTCGAACCTGTCAGCATATTCCAGATAGCTCAAGTTCTCATCCTTGTGCTCTTCTTCCCATGAGGGAATCCATTAGCTCCTAGGCATAGTCAAAAAAAATCTTCAATGTTGGGGCCGGGGAGATGGCTCTGTAGAATAAGCGCTTCCCTGGCAAGCGCAAGGGCCTGAGTTCAATCCCCGATTCCCAAAACAAAACAAAACACTTCAATGAGGGCCGATGAGATAGCTCAGCAGTCTAAAGTGCCTGCTTAGGCAAGCTTAGACAAGTGCAGGGACCATGGTTCAATCCCTGGTACCACATGCCTCGCCAGGCCCACCCCCAGGGTGGGCTTAGCTAGCCACCGGAAAAAAAAAAAAAAAATCAGAGGCTCCCTAGTACCTACAAGACACAGCCCAAAGTTCCTAGCTTGGCCTAGGAGCTTCACCCATCTTTTATAGCCTCAACACACACTGTGTCCTCTCAGTGACCTAGGCCCAGGCCACTGCAGCCTCCTTTAGTCAGAACCACGACCGTATCTGTCTGGGGGGCACCTATCCACTTCCAGTGCCCAGCACAGAGCAAGTGCTAAGTGAATAAACCACACCTCCGCAACAAAAAGACTGTGCAGATTACAGGTTATATTTGCTGGGTCTTGCATCCTTTTTTTGTCTTTTTGAGATAGGGTCTTGCTATGCAGTTCAGGCTGGCCTTGAGCTCACTTTGCAGCCTAGGCTGGTCTCAAACTTGCAACGATCTTCCTGCCTTAGTCTCCCTAGTGCTGGGATTACAGGGTATGCCACCATGCCCGGCCTTCACGTCTTTATCAAGATGGTCATTTTATAGTCCCAGTTGAGGCCTGGGCCCTCCAGCAGGTACCTGTGGAGTGGGTAGACCAGAGGGTAGATGTAGCCTGATATAGTCTGTCTCCACAGAGGTAAGAGTGGAAGAAGAGGAGGAAACGACCACAACAGACTGGCTCCAGTAACACATTGTGAACTGCATCCAAGTGCTGGGGAAGTCCCTTGGGCTCACTCCTAACACAGTCAACTGCCCAAGAACAAGTGCAGGGCCTGCAGAACAGACTGTCTTCCCCAGAGTGCTCAGTCACTGGGCTGCTTTTGAGAGGCAAGGAAACCTCTATGAGCCACATTTCCCCTAAGAGTATTTCCCGGTCACAGCCGCACAGGGGCTGTATGCCACGCCTCGGGAAGCAGGCAGGCAGGGATTGCTGGCTGCACTGTACCAAGGAGGAAACCAAGCTCTGTGGGCACAGCTCACAGAAGCCCCATGGGTGATTCTGCCACCCGTTTCTCAGGTGTGCAGGGGTAGGCAGGGCGCACCCCACAACCTCACAGCTCACTGCACAGAAAACCAAGGCAGGCTGGGCAAGTGGGAGCAAGACCAGGCTGAGTGGGAGCCACATCGACAGCCTAAAGCAGCAGCTATTCCTTGGTGCCGGCTAATCGTTACCATGTAGCAACATGTAGCGACACTACCCTGAAGGCCATAATTGCCTTCCTCTGCATCCCATTTGCTCATCTGTAATGGAGGGCATGGGCCGCTCCACTTTTCCTGTCTCCCCTTTCCCCATTATGGTTGTCCTCACAGTCAATCCTCGATCACTTCATTACAACTCTCAGGTCTCTAACCGTAGCCCAGAACTTTTCTGAGTCCAGGTCCCATATCCAGTTTACTAGATGGCAACTGCTACATCTTCGAACCTGTCAGCATATTCCAGATAGCTCAAGGTCTCATCCTCATGCTCTTTGTCCTACGAGGGACTCCATTAGCTCCTAGGCATGGGCAAAAAATCTTCACTAGGGGCTGATGAGATAGTTGGGCCAGTGAGATAGCTCAGCAGTCTAAAGCACCTACTTAGGCAAGCTTAGACAAGCGCAGGGACCTCGCGCGGCTCAGGGACCTGACATCACATGCCTCGGCAGGCCTGCCCCCAGGGTAGGCTGAGCCAGCCACACACACACAAAAAAAATTCGCTGGCTTCCTAGTGCCTATAAGACACAGCCCAAAGTTCCTAGCTTGGCCTAGGAGCTTCACTCATCTTTTACAGCCTCATCACACACTGTGTCCTCTGAGACCTAGGCCCAGGTTTCAAAAGCAACCCAATTACCAAACCTTGGCAAGCCAAACCCAAGACATAAAAGCAGCCACAGCCACATTTTACATGTGAAACAAAATACATATGCAGGCCAGACACAGCTGTGGAATCAAAAGGCTGTAACCTCCGACAGAGTTGCGATGCTGGGAGGACCGCTGTGGGGATCCTGGATTTCCTCTACACAGATGCTATAGCTCTAAAACGGGGCTGATAACAGGGTTCAGCCCCCATGGCTTTAGGGAGGGGGCAGAAAGAGTCAGTACAGGGCCTGGGGAACAGCACTGTCATTGTAGTAACCCCAGAAATGCCCAGGACTGGTGCTCATGTATTGCTAGGCAAGAAAAAGAGGTGCTTAACTTCAGCAGCCACCAGGGAAGTGTAAACTAAAGCCACAGTGAAGTGTCACCCACATATACCAGAATGGCTTTTTGCGTGTGTGTGAGACTGGGTCTTGCTATGTAGTTTAGGCTGGGCTTGAGCTCACTACATAGCCCAGGCTGGCCTGACACCTGAGGTGATCCTGTTGCCTCAGCCTCCCATGTGCATGTGCAGAGATGGCTATGACTTTTTTTTTTCCCATAATTTTATTGAGACAAATAGCAATGAGACAGTTTCAAATCAAATTAGTAGGACAGTTTCAATAATTATTTTTTAATAATTTTATTGAGAAACAAATAGCAATGAGACAGTTTCAAATCAAATTAGTAGGACAGTTTCAATAATTATTTTTTTTTAAACATTTATTTATTTATTTTGAGTGTGTGTGTGTGTGTGTGGCCAGCTCAGCCCACCAGGGGGCGGGGCTGGCTGGCATGTGGTGCTGGGGGATTGAACCGCGGTCCCTGTGCTTTGCCAAGCTTGTTCCAAGTAGGTGCTTTAGACCACTGAGCCATGTTGCCAGCCCGAGTTTCAATAATTAACACATTGCGGGGCCAGGGAGATGGCTCAGTGGAATAAGTGCTTGCCTGGTAAACACAAGGGCCTGAGTTCAATCCCCGGTTCCGCAAAAAACCAAAAAAACCTCATTGCATACTGTCTTCCTAGTGGTTTTTTGTTGTACAAGATGCAGACATGATATCCTATTTACAAACACTATTAGAACAAATTCTTCTAGTCATTGAATTAAGACTTTCAAAAGATAGAAAATGCCAAGTATCGGCAAGGATCAGAACTCTCATCCACTTCTGAGAGGAGTATAAATTGGTAAAACCACTTTGGGACACTATTTAGCAATATCTACTGCAGATGAATATCTGCTTATGCTATATCCAGCAATTCCATTGCTAGTTGTATGACTAACATTAAAATGTACATATGTTCATAGAGGGCTATGGATACAGCTCAGTGGTAGAGCGCTTGCCTACTATGCATAAGGACCTGGGTTCAATCCTCAGTACAGGGAAAAGAAAAGCACATATGGTTACCAAATGATAAATACCAGATGGCAACCAGGTGTGGTGGGACATGCCTATAATTCTAGCCCTGAGGAGGCTGAGGCAAGAAGATCACAGCAAGTTTGAGGCCAGCCTGGGCTATATAGTAAGTTCAAGATCAGCCTGAACTACAAAGTGAAACCCTGTCTCATGAAACAAAACAAAAATACTAGATG